CCCCAAAACCCCAAAACCCCAAAACCCCAAAACCCCAAAACCCCAAAACCCCTTGTTACCCATCTAAGACTGAAAATACTAGCCAAGTAAAAAGTTTATATTAAGAGTTATCTAAATGTCCGAAACTTCGAAATTATGAAATAATATGTATTTTAAACCAGCTCCAAAAGAAGAGAATAATTATAAACCAAGTTATCTAGTATTATGCTTTTAAGTCAGAAAATTAACAGTTAACAGCCCTTGTTCTTGCCCTTACTTCTTTTTAATGGCTTGGATTGTACGAAGTTCTCCGTGTATGCTGACAGGAGTTCAAAGAAAATATAATAATTTTTAGTGGTCAACTCATTTGATGACGGAACAAACCTTTTGTCACTCTTCTTGCTTCTATAAACATTCTCAGAAGCAAAAGTAGACTCGAAATCGTCATGGTCAGAATTGTCCATACGAATGCTCTTTTCGTCAAGAGCTCTGAATTTCTCTTTTCTAGACTTTGGAGATAGTTGCTGCATCTCAGCCTTAAATTTATCATTTAAAGAGCAAGGCTCTTTGGAATCTTTCCTTGCTTGTTCTTTCAGTTTAAGTTTATCGGCTTCCCTTTTATTTGCCTTTAAAGCATCGTTGAAAGTTTCATAATTCTTTACCTTATTTTTCTTAAAAGTATGAATAGCATGATCAATGGAATTAACAAATTTTGTAGCCTCAATCTCTCTTTGACGATACAACTTGGATATATTGTGAGTCTTTGGGGGCTGCGCGTACAAATTTCCTACATTCTCAGCTTCAGATTCGGCATCAATAAGCTCATCATTCGAGTTAAAATACATCTTTCTACCTCTTTTGTGTGTGTAAGTTATTGAACTAGTTTCTTCATCAGGAGCAGGGAATAGGATATCTTCGCAAAGAGAGCTCTCTTGATCTTCTGTATTCTCCTCAGCGATGTATGACATACCATTTTTACTCAAATCTGGGTTTCTATTATAAACAGAGTCGTCTTCTTCACTAAATTCTTCAATTTTCTTTCAATCAGTTCTATTTCTTTGTCTTTGTCGTGCTCTACGAGATCTTCTGACTCTTTTTGGTGTAGGTTTTCCCATAAACCATTCATAAGTGGTCTTTATTGGATTTCCAGAATATTTCGATATCACATAAGAAATGACGATAGATCCAGCGATAAGGCCGCTAATGGCCTTGATGGTATCAAAGGTAGACTCAGGAGGTGTCTGAGACAAAGAATTAGTAATATCTCTTCCAGTTGACATAATATCTTTCTGGATTTAAGAACTATTTTAATTAAATATTCAAAAATTGTTTCCAAAAATGGGGTTTTGGGGTTTTGGGGTTTTGGGGTTTTGGGG